TATATATATATATATATATATATATATATATATATATATATACCCCTTTTTTTTGACGTGGAATTCGCCACCTGAAGTTAAACAAAAGTAACTTATACTATCCTGTAACAAAAAGTCCCCAGTGAACCAGCAGCAAGTTTACGGACTTAAAACACTAAAATCTGGGATTCGATTTCCCGCAGTGGATAGAATGCAAATAGCCCAATGTGTAGCTTTGCGGTGGGAAAGAAACAAACAACAACATTAAAAATACTTACGTCACCATCACGGGGAAAGTGACAGCAAATCAACAGGAGAATCATACAACCCTATTATTAGGAACTGGGGTGTGAAGCTGGTGTGCTCACCCCGTCATATTGAACAAGATTACCTATTTTCTTTGTTATGTTTTTTTTCTCATAATTCAAGGCCGCATGTATAGAGATTAGTGTTTAAGGCTCGGGATCGGAAGGTCAATGTTGAACCGTAATATGTTGCTGAACACGCTCCGCAGTTTCCTCTGTTATGTATATTTCCCCTCTAAGGTACAGCTGTATGCACGTGCGTTGTTTTCATATATGTAGGCTTGGATATCTAGGAAGGGCATAGATATAGAGAAATAGTGCTTATATCTGCTAGTAATATCCAGATAATATTTGATAGGTTGTTTAGGCAGAGTATTCATAATGAATCTAAGTTTCAAATGGACAGCAACTGCCTGTTGTAGAAACCTACAAATGTAGAGGACGACGTTTCGAAAGTCCTCCGCCTTTCGTCTTCAAGCGGAAGACTTTAGAAACACCTTCCTCTACATTTGTAGGTTTCTACAACAGGCAGTTGCTGTCCATTTGAAACTTAGAATCAATATCCAAATATGTATACTAACAGATATTATAGCACTATCGTATAAAAGGTACTCCTGGTATAGCATTCCTTGTGTATAAGTAAATACGTCTTGATAAATTAGTTGGTCAATTAAAATTCCGGATAAGTTGACCAAAGCAAGGATGGGTCACCTAACCAAGCGAGGTTAAGATGGAGGAATGAGGAACATGAATTGGTGTCGCCATGTTTCTCAATAATGTGCTAGTGTTAAAGAGTGTGGCAAGTCAATCCTCTGTTGAGTAACTGTAACAGTGTTCTGTTCAGGTGTCACAACGTGATCGATGTTTCGGAGTTTTTACATTCTTTGATAACTTTCCTGTTTTTGTTTGTCACATCATTCTCTGTTTAATTTTGTAACAGTACTCTGTTCATGTGTCACTACGAGATCAATGTTTAGAGGTTTATAACTCTTAAATAACTTTCCTGTTTTTTTTGGCTTGTCAAGTTCAGTTGATTCCTAATAAAAACAAAGAAAATGATATTTATGTAAAATTTATACTTAGAAATATATTTAATAAGGAAAAAAAGGACGTCCCTCCCCCGTCTGCCCTTTTTTCAAGGGAATAAAGATAAAACCTTTTTTTTTTTCAATGCGACTGTGTTTATTTTATTTCTATAGTTTAAAGCTAGATAAAAGACAAAACTACTTCTTACCTGTTTTCCGCATCCAAACTTCCATCGTTAGATAAAATAAGTTTGGATCTCGATGTTTCATCCGAAATTTATTTAGTAGTACTCGGACTACTTCTTTACTCGTAGTGTCACGGGTGATACACAGGGTTTTGTATTCCATGTCGGCACATAAAACACGGGTGTAAATCTTAAGCATCACCTGTAAATCAAGACATGTATATACCGAGCATTTAATTAATTTCTTGTGAAACTAAAAAATATAAACAAGACTGAATCACCCGATTCCACTTTTGTGTTTACAAATATTAACGCTAGATGTCGTGGTCCTAAATAATTTCTACTTTAGTCCAATAACTCGAGAAAATCGATATGGAAGCGATATTAGAAAACTTATGTGAAAACAAAAACTAAGAATACCATTTTAAGCAAGTCCAATACATTATGATCGATAACATTAATTAAAAAGAAATTTTAAAAAACTCAACAGTAACATAGAATAAAAAATATGTTTCGTATTCCGCCTTCAAAATTAAACCAAACCTCAACAGTAACATAGAACGATAAATACGGTTTCGTATCCCGACTAATAAACACAAATATTAAAACCAAGCCTCAACAGTACAAATAATGGTGAATATGGTTTCTTAACATCTTTCTGAAACATAGCTTTAAGTGTAGTATTGGCTGGACAGTAAAATGTGTCACACTTTTTAAATTAAAATTTTTGAAATTGTCTAATTAATTCGACAAGTTGTCTGTGAAATCATTTTAAATTGGAACAGTAATGGATATATTAATGAATGTTAACCGATAGAAACAAGTATTACGTTGCAATAAATAAAACCTTTACGGTTTTGATAGTTTGTCGAATTTCGAGCCAAGATACTCGAAAGGAAAGACAGCTACTGAGTTAGTCAACACAACTACCGCCAACTCTGATTTACTAACAAATAGTGGGACTGACTATTACATTATAATGCCTCACTGCTGAAAGAACGATAATTTTCGGCAACGGGTTTCGATCCCGCAAGTTACGAATTAAGATGGCCCTAATCATCAAGTCAACTTTACAGAAACAACTGTATAAAAAATTATGTCAGGCGTATAAAAGAAATATGATGAAACTAAAGCAAACGGTATATAATAATTTGTATTTCATTTTCGTGTTTTAATACAATGACAGACTGGGCTTCAGATTAACTTCATATCATCTGATAAACGGAAGCCATGACTTATATATTTATCTGTGTAATTAAACTCCCTTGGGCTACAAATAAGTTTTTATCCAAAAATTGAAGAGAAAAAGACTTTCATTTAATTTCAAGTCTCTCTATGTATATTTCACGCCATAGTAGTCTATTAGTTAACATTCGGAACAGATCGAGAGAAAGTCCATTATTTACCAGGACATTTCCGTCAGTTCATGAGCAGCCGTAATCCTGAGATTAAACTGGTATAACAATGCGTCAAGAAAACCGGTTTATATCTGCGGTAAAGTGTTGTGTGATAAATATCACGTAAACTGCAGATATTTTTCCGTACACTCCTCTAAATTTGTCCATTTCGAATTCCAAATCAGAGATGTGTAAAATTTTCATTTCAGGCCTATCCTTTGACTCCCACAGGTCAATACCCAAGAGGTCTTTCGTTCAACGCCGGAATTCGTCAGTAGGGCTGTACGGTGAAAAACAAGTTTGTTCTGAAACTCCACTTATATACGTCGCATAAGACTTTAAAAGTTACGGGTTAACAGACGAAGTATTGGCAACTAGTAGACCTATTGTTTTATCGCAAATGTTAGGCCTACTGCCTACTAGTTTCTAATACTTCTCCACCTTTCGGCATTTAAAGTAGCTTTTAAAGTGTTAGGTGTCATTTAATTATACAGCATCGTTCAACACCCAACCATAACATCGTGAAACTTAACCGACATAATGATGATCGAGTTTTAAATAATTTTCTTACACAACGGATATAGATAATTTGGTGGTGGTAACTTGGTAAGTGACTAACACAGTGTTTGACACATTATCTCCCTTCGTATCTCGAGTGGGGATTAAGTAACTGACACAAGTAAACACTTAAAGAAAATAGGAATTGATGATATATGATTAAATCAAATAAAGAATTTAAGGAAGTATGGCATAGCATATAATTAAAAAAAAACAGAATGCAAAAAGGTCCTAGGACATGATGATTAATTTGTAATCAAATCAAGTAAAGAATGTAAGATAGCTTTAGAACTTTTGTTTTATGTATATACAATGAAAACAAATAGAATATACAAGTAGTGAAACTTGACTGCATATAACAAAACAAGCAGAAAATGGAAGTAGGAACATAAGTAAAACATAACAATTAAAGAAGGTAGTGGGATGACATGTAATAAATTTAATCAGAATTATAATCAGTTACAGCTAGTATGTGGTCAAATACGAAAATATACCGAAATGGTTATGATTGTTATATGGGAAACAGAATCATGTGATCCACGTTTTGGCAAAACGATCTTCTTCGTGATGATATAATTATTCTTTCCGTTATCATTGTTATATGGGAAACAGAATCATGTGATCCACGTTTTGGCTAAACGGTTTTTTTCGTGATCATATAATTATTATTTTCTTTATAGCGATTTTAACATCTTTGTGTTTGTGAGATTCATGACTTATACACGTACTTCTTTGCGTCATTTTTCAACGATGCTTTTTTTGTAAGTATGGAAAGTTAAACTGACGTCAAAAACTCTCTGTTTACAGTTAATGAGCCACATTTCTCTGGTAGATACTCTTTTCTCCACTACTGCCGAAACCGTACTCTTTCTTAAACAATATTGACTGAATTAAGCCTCGAAATCAAATATGAAATTAAATTCTTTGTTGACAGCAAGCATTTGATTATATTGCGACCAATCATATTACGTTTTGGTTTCAAACTGTACTAGAAAAATTAACTGGGTGTCTGTGAAGTCAAACTAGCACTAAGGCGAAGAAGAAACAGGTCATGGACGAAAAAAATAAAGCAAACCACAGACCGATATCTTCAATATTATTTTATACATAAAAATTTACAGTTTTCATATGGCTATACTCTTTCTTTTAAAATGGCGAAGTCATTTCCTTTGAGTGTATGATTGTCTGATCAAGTGAACTTTGATAAAATGTGCTACAATGATTGAATAACAATTTATGAATCAGAAATTTTGTTTACAAAGACTCAAGTGGGGAGATATATTAGTTTAAGTTATTCTGCGTGTTAATATTCTTCTATTTATTTTGGACTTTTTTGATAATATTTCAGTAAGGTAAAAATCACTATTTTTGAATGCGTCTGTCTAGCTGAGTTGATTATTCTTTATTCGTTTTCACATGTTTTGAGCAATTATTGTCTATAATTCTGGAAATCCTTTCCACGAGAAGAATTAAATGTGCAGAACTGCTACAAAATTATAAGCTTTGAACTCAAACTAGAGAGCTACAGTTATTTTAACAGAAACGCAACAGTTTAAAAAGGCTGCACACAACTCCACTCTTCGTTTCGCTAAAACGAACGAGTTTTAAGTTATGAAGAAACCAGATAAAGTACCCATTCCCCTTGTCTGGGTTTTACGAATTCTTAGCACCTGATGAGCACGAGTCCGGTGTCGAAAAAGTATCGATGAACATATAAATAATACAGTGATGAATCAGGAACTTGCGTGGACTCGTGATTAGTATTATGAGCTATGGATCGGAAGTCCAAATTTCAAGTAGCGATTAGGTGCTGAACATGCTTCGCGCTTTTAACTGTGGTGAAGTTATAACTGTTACAAGCAATCCCGCTATTCAACTAAGATTAACCATCTATATAGCACGTGATATAGATAAAGTTGCCCTTTATCTCTTCAATAGTTTGAAATTAGGGATGGTTAAGCATGAGCCTTGTAATTTTTAACCTGACTTTTTAGACCCATGTATCGCACAAGATGGGTCAGCGTTCGAAATTAGGGATGATTATGTACGAACCTTGAAATTTCTGGCCTGGCTTTTTAAACCCATGTATCGCACCAGATGGGTCAGTAGTTAGAGATCAGAGGTGGTTATGTTTAAAGCTTGGGATCTCTGACCTGAATTTTCAGACCCATGTATCACATAAACAGTTGCTCAGGTTGCAAATACCAAAATGAAGTTGGTGAACTGTAATTTTTATCAATTTTATTTAAATCAGAATTAGGTTTATGGTTTTCATCAGCATCACACTGTTTATTTAGCCACTAAATTGTTTATCATTAACCTCGTCCGTACCTTAAAGTTAGTGCAACAAGTGAGCGAGTATATTATAAAGGACAGTGACGTCATATCACATTGCTTTGTTGCATTGACACTTAATAGCTAAAGTTCACAGGAAGAACATCTTGTTGTGATAGCATTCCATTCTTCATAGGTTTCAAACGTGAATAATTTTATTTATGACATTTGGTATTGTATATCAGACATCCAGATTTTAAGACCCCCCACAAGCAGACTAAGCACATTTTACGACATCTAAGTACATAAAATGCTTATTCAAGTCAACCACATGGTAATATACGATCAGTAGATTTTCCAAATGGTTTCGACAAACACTGGAGAGTTTGATTTCAAACTGGATGATCAGTACCCTCACGTATATTAGTTACTTGGCTGGAATCTACCATTGTCAACAAAACCAACAAACATGTTGCTCAGCTTGCAAATATACAGATGTTGTCATCCACTTCCATCAGTTGATTGCTTTTATCTCAAGAAAATAAAACGTATTTAACAATTAAATTGTTGGTAGTATTCATGATTCCTCAAAACGTATAAACCGAAATTGAACTTCTCACGGCAACCTAACAGCGTCGTCATGGAAACACTGCTGAAAGATGAAACCTAAGTTAAACTTCACAAGTGTTGTCACGGAAACATCTCTAATTGCTGAAACCTTACACATTTGTTAAGGAAATTATTATATGCTCATTTTATTACGTCAGAAAACCACCACTCATACTTAGATCTGTTTTCCGGAATCTGAAGTATCCATAGAAATGTCCCATTTATACTGCAAAAGAAAAGAAGTAATTGCTAAACTGGCTTGAAAATTAACATACAGACATTATACCACATCGAGGGACTACTATTTTATTGCATATTTTGTTTTGAATTTCGCGCAAAGCTATACGAGCCGTCCCTAATTTAG